ATATCCCAATTATTTCAGAAATTCAATCTTATGATAAGGAATTTGTTTCTAATTGCCATTGCAGATCTACTCTATAGTATTGTATACTCATATGTCTTTTACTGAATATATTTTAATAATTAATATTGTGTATTTCCACTTTATTAATGTATTTTCATCTTAAATATGTCCTTTAATTAATCTTTGTATATAATCTTATCACTCTTAGCTTCCAATAGAAAGTGATTTTCTACCACCAGATATTTTTCAATGAGATGGTTTTGCACTAAGTACAAAGTTGAAATACCAACACTGTTCTTCTGTGCTTTGACTGTTTGAAGCAGAAATCTAATACCCACAGGACGAAACCTGCTAATTTTTGGGCACTGCAAGAGTCTTTCTTTCCCAGTTTCTGTCACATTTCAAATGTTTACAGGATCATACAGTTTGAAGTAGGATTTCTTTCACTGAAATACTAATGTGTGTTTTTCCACATTCATGTTAAATTCTTTAGGCCTGTATAACCTCAGAAAATGGTCTTTTCAAATCCTTTTCCATCTTGAGAGCCATTCTATCGTCATTCCTCTACTCTGCATGAGAGGTTTCCGCATCTTGCTTGCAGTTCTAGTTCTTCCATCTCATTACCCACATTTCCTGCATTAGTCCACAAACAACTTCATTGTTTCCTTTTGACCTCACAGAATTTCCTAAGTCAATTGAATATAGCCAACCTGATCAATTCTTTCATTCACAGAAATACTTTTTTCCCCCCGTGCTCTCCACTGTTTTATTCTGTAGCATAATAGCCTTATATCTGACTATATCCTCATTTCCATTGACTTTACCTTTTATTTATGAACACCATTTGTTCACATAGACCATGTCTCTCTCAGTCACAACATGTGATCACATCCTGCAACCAAGATGGATGTTTTTCTTCATCTGTATTTCTAGTCTTGGTTGCTGAAGGTCAGTGCTCCAGACAGTCAGGTGCAAACTCACCCCTGGGAAGTATGCTCTTTCTGGTAAAGCTTCCTGAAGGTTAAAAGCCCCAAAATCCCAATGTAGAGCTTCCTAGGCTGGGTTTTGCTGTGCTTTTGGCCAAAGCTGGCATGCATGTGGCATTTTACCTACCATGTAATGCGATGAAACCTTCAATTATATTTCCATTGCAACCTTCAGTGAAACCTTACTTAAGGATTTTTCTTTTTTTTTGAATCTGTAGAATTATGGACTTGCTTTTTTTGTAGGTTACAAGCTACAGCATATCAGGGGTCTTGTGTTAAAGCATGCTTCAGTGTTTCAAAGATGCAGGTGGGAATTAAACTACTGATTGCAAAAGAGACCAGAGCGTTACAGCCTCAGGGAAATGTCTGCACTGCTCAACACTCTTTGAAAACCTCAGACTGTGCTTGTTCCATAAGGGAACACCTCAGTGCTCTGCAAAACAAACCAGTGTGCTTTATTTTCCACATCCATGAGTGGACAGTACTGTTAATGTATTTTTTCAAAGCATTTGGGGGGATAAATATTCTGCATATTTGGCATGTGGCATTATTTGGCAATGCCATTAGCATTTGGAAAGCCATGCATTTGCATCTTTCCTGTGATGATCAAACTCTTAATAGGCCTATAAAAGCACATATTTAATTTTCAATCCACTAATTTTTGTATTTCTAAATAATGATATTTATAACATATTCAATGCCCAGGATGACTGCATGTCCCTCTACAAAGGGAAAAGCTATCAGACCCATTCTCCAGTGGGTTCACCCAGAAGTGGATCACAGCTGCAGTCCCTGGGTGCAAGAGTTCCTGACTCATAGTGCATTTTGTGCTCCTTACCAAGCTCACAGCCCCTGTCCCAGTGTGGCACCCCAAATAAAAGATCCTTAGCAAAGATTCTGCAGGAGGGAATCCCACTGGATGTAGATTATCCTGGAGCTCAGGGGCTTCTCTTCTTTGTGACTGTGAGAACAAGGGGGACATTACTGAAATGAGAGCTTTATTTCCAACACTGAAGCCAGGTATGGGGGTAGGGCTGCAGCCATTGTGACCAAGCTGGTGGCCAGGGTGTGGGCCAGATCTCATTTTGCCAGGACCACCTCATCTCTGTGGGGCTGTGCTTGTGAGACAGAACCTCGGGTGATGCTGAGTGATAATAAAATAAATGTCTTTATTTTTAATAGATGGACAAAGCAGACCCAAAACCAGACAGTGTTTTCTTGAAATGCATGGACGCTATTGAATACAATACAAATGAAGTTAAAACATAGATATCTATATTATGCTTCCTATCTGCTTTGTTAAGTATAGTCTTAATATAGCATTTCTGACACAGACAAAAATATACTTTTTTTTTTAACTACATCCACAAATACTGCCCTGATTAGTAGCAGACTTACAATAACTTACTAACTGCACATGGAACTTGACCAATACACTTGGGCAGAAGGAAAATGAATAACAGTTTTTTCCTATGACACTTCTATTTGAACTCCTAAACTCTTGTACTATATGAAAATAAAACACTAAATCTGACTTTATTTGATCCACTTAATGTTTACATTCAGTTCAGGTTCACAAAAGTATGGTTTGTTTATAATACGTATACCATCCCATTTGGACAAGTAGAGAAGAAATAACTTTTTTGACATGTCAGCTATGTTATCAACGTTGATTTTATGAATACATCTCATGCAAAGGAGGAAAAAAACCCCTGTCAAATAAATGTTATTCACAAAGGTGAAGAATATGAAAGTAAAATGTATGATTGTATAATGAATATTTTACCTTAAAATTGTAGGCTCAGAAACAATAACCTCAGTGTCTGAAAATGAGCTGTTTGCTTCACTGATTATAAATCTAATTTACTGTACAGTACTACTGTCCACAAATTGCAAAAGGGGAGAAAAACTTGTAATTCCTCTGAAAATAAAATTTGCTTAAAGAATCACATCCTGTTGGCACTTTGCTTGTGGAAGTAACCTAGTTTTCTTTTGTTTGTTTGTTTGTTTTGGTTTTTTGTTTTTTGCTCTTTTTTTCCCCCCACAGCTATCAATCACAGATATGGCCTTTGGTTATATGAACAGCTCTGTACAAATTAAATGGTAGGACAGGTGAGCTAAGGCAATAAAACCTGTAAACAGACTTTGCATGGGGCTGTTTGGTTGGGCTTTTGTAATCCATCTAAGCAGGAATACTGCATAAAATAGTATCAATTAAAAAAATTTCTATCGGACAGAAAGTGCAAAATATTCTGATAATGTTTAAAGTGTCTGGTTTGAAATTTTTGGGCTAACACTTATATTTTTCACCTACCTTTTTTTTGAGCATTTTAAAGCCATTTACATTTTTATGGCAACAATGGAATACAAAAGAAAAATAATTTTATTTTTCAATCAAAATTTCTTAAATTATTCCAGCTCAATCCCCTTCTCTTTTTTTTTCCCTTCCCATAACTGGGCATTTTGAAATAAATAATATTGAAATGTTGCTGTATATGCAGCATCTTGCAGTGAAATTCTAGCAATTTCTGGACAAAAATGAGGTAAGAGAAAAGTTTTTAGGAAGGCCTACAGGTGACTGTAAAATGGGATCCTCTAACTTAATTTGGAACAGCAGCATAAGGCATTGGCTATGTAAGCAGGTAAAACTGTGACTTGGTATTTTCCCATAAGAAGGGATTCAGACTAGTGGATTTGGGCTGAAAATGAAGAATAATTCAGCAGTGCCTCTGTTCTTCCCCTCTTTCCTCTACAAAGTCTATTTCCTTATCTCCCTTCTGTGCTTCATGGGGGAATTAAGACTGCTGGGCTCATGTTTGGTTTGTGATACTCAGCACCCTGAATTTCATGGGTGGTCTATTAACTCATCTCACAGGAGTTTTTAATTTCTTTGCTATACTGGCTCTTCTGAGTTTTTACTGCATATGCTGGTTTTGATTCCCTCCACCCAGAGCACACTTCATATTGGTAAGCACAGTAGTACTGCAGGTCACAGTGCATATTCAGAAATGAGCTGCAATGTTATTTTTAAATGCAGTGTAAGGAGAAAAAAAAATCAGCATCTCTGAAATGAATTTTCTCTACATATTAAATATATATGTATGCTGTTAAGACTCCACAAAAGGAGCAAAACATATCTAAGGATTCAAAGCTTGTGAAAGCTTATGTCAACACTGAATGCACAAGTTGATGGCTTCTTCCTTTAGCAGCAAAAGACCTATTCTTACGTCTCCTATCCTCCCTTATAACTCCTCGTGCTGTGAGTGTTAAAAAAAGAAATTTCACTGGTGACCAGCAACAGGAGGATATCTGGATTTCAACCGAACATTTTGCGTCATACACAGATTTTAAAAAGAATTATTGGAGCATAACCCTTAATTGTAGAGAAATGTAGCTACTGGAGCTCGCGCTGAGAAAGGCACATACCAATGGGGACAGACACAATCATCCTGGCCCTGGGCAAGTGGAGACAGCACTGCATGTTCCTGCTGGCCTGGGCAGTCAGCAGAGCCCTCATCTCCCCACTTTGCTGCTTCTGGCCAGCTTTGCCATTCATGAGCCACGTTTTGTCTGCACCTGGCCAGTGCTGCTGCTCTGCAGGCTCACTGGGAGTGCAGGGATCAAAGGAGGAGTCCAGCACTTAGTGGAGGACACCACTGTGCCTCTCTCTGTGTTTGTGGGTTCAGCATTCCTTTCAGTTCCTCTCCAAGCTGCTTTCAGAGGCAAACACTTAGAGATGTGGAAAGCTGTACAGCAAGCCTGGTTTTTTGAGAAATTTTTGAGGAGATGTTATTTTCTATGCAAAATTTGGATTTTTCAGAGTAATTCCAGCATGACCAAGCCAAAAGATTTTTCAGCATCTTTAAGAATAGCTTTTTTTAGTAAGTGAAAATTGAGAGTTTTCTGCAAGGAAACCCCTCTCATTTCTCTTTCAAAGCTTCTTGATTCTCTTTACTTTTCAATATTTATTCCATTGGTGAAGTTGCTCAGTGTCGAACTGCTTTGCTTGTGTTCATTTTGATGATAAGTCAAGATAAGTCTTCTTCAACCAACACTGAAAAATTCTATTTAGTTTGAGTTTTTCTATAGGAGCCATTTTTCACAAGCTGAATTTCAATTCCAGTTATTGCTCTAAGAATTTTGGGGCAGTCACTAACCAAAGAAAAAGAAAGAGAACACCCAGATTAACATATTTTGCTTAAGGTTGCCTTATATCAGCTATAACATAATTTTAAACTGGTGATTTAATTTTAACTTTTAAAAATTAATATATCATGTTTAGCACTCCTAAAAGGAATTTATTACTATTTGTGCATTTTGCTGTCTCATACAAATAATAAATTACTAGATTGTATTATTTAAATTTCTTTATGAGGAAAAAAATTACCCCAGGGAATTTATCTATCTGTCTTTGCTCAAGCAACTAGCTCTTTAGTAATAAATCACTTATAGCTGTGGCAATATATTTTCACTTAATGCCAATAAAATGCTGAGTGATAATATTTCAGACTTACTGTATTATAAACTCTTCCTATGATATCCTAGCTAAGAACTGTTGCACATTTTCTTCTACATATATTTTAGATTTTAAATATTTTTTAATGGTACAGTATATATCTCTGGATGGAAGGAATGGGATTGAACGTATACTTTAGTAAACACTCTGTGATCTAATCCAACATATTAGATAACAGCAGAAAAGAGTTCCTCCCATGAGATGCTCCTGCTCCTACAAACAATTTAAAGAATGTGCAGCGGCATTTTATTCCCAATTCTTGCTTTCCTTCTGATAAAATACTTCTTTGTAGAATATCCTGCTTCTCATTTTTTTGCCTGTGGCTATGAGATTTTTTAATTATCTTCAGTGTTGGACAGTTCTGGGCTTGAATCAACGTAGTTGAAGGCTTCCTTGTTGGTGAAAGTTGAGCTCAAAGTTAGACTGTGTCGTGGATTCACAGGTGCAAGTTCATTTAATACAATATTGTCACTTTTTACAAGAGTTGCTTTGTCCATGTGTTCTCTACTGTATCTGGCAACAACAGCATCAAGAAAGTCCAGCTTTGGTGGCAAAGTCCCACTTTCAAATAAGTATTTGGCTAAGTAGGAGACTATGACATTAGTAAAGAAGGAGGTGAGCATAGCAAGTGTTTTAAATGGGAATCGCTGGATATAGAGGTTGTTATCATCTTGATACCAGCCAGGGTAGAAGATCAAGGGCTGAAGGTAGAGGTATGGCTCTCCTCCCGTTATTCTGAGGACAAGGCCAAACAGGTATCCTGCAATGGCACCGTAGGTGTTGGTTCCTTTGATAAATAACACACACAGGAGCTGGGGGAATATGATGATATAGATGAGGTCAGAGCTGAGGTACCAGAGGCCGTACACCGATGAAGCCAGCAGTGCCATCGCTGTTGCTGATGCTCCAAACAGAAGAACAGTGATTCTGATGACCCACACAATTTCCCTGTCTGAAGCCTGGAAAAAAAGGGCAGTGTTAGGTGGTTTTTTCATGGCTATACATATATCTATATATGCCTACACTTACACACAGTCAATATAAAATACTGAATTGTAAAAGAAAGCTTTGCATGATTAATTCAATAATAATTACAAACTAATAACTCTAGCTCAATCTTAAGCTCAGAGAAAAAACCCTAGGGGTTATGGTTGCCATTGCCAAAGCCATTACTCTTTGGACATAACAAAAAGCTTGACGATGAGTCAAAGAGAAAAAACAGCAATGTAAAAAATAACTTTTAAATAGAATCACAACTAGAAAAAAATTGTTAGCATCAGAATTTCTTCTTCTCTGTTTCCTAAGAAAAACTCCAACTCATTAGACTATTGCCAAATGATTTCCCAATAAATGAAAGATTAGAAAAATGTCTCATTTTGTGAAAAATCTAAGCGGAACTTACACTTGTGGCAACACTTATTAGCTGTTTGGATAAATTGCATGTCCATGAGAACTCTTGACAGCTGCCCTCCCCAAGCCAGCTTTTTCACTTTTGTCATCAGTAACAACCATAATTATTTTTATGCTTTTCAGTTGGTTCAACATACTGTTAGCAATTAAATTCTTTTTCTAGTTACAGGCAGGAACATGAAAGAGGTGTTTCATTATGAAATTATAGTGTGTGTATCACCTAGGGAAGGTCTCACCTAAAATTTTCTCTAAAAGTAAAAACGAAAACATTGTCTCACATTTTGCCGAAAGGCAAGCTGGTAAATGTTCCGAGCAAACATAGAACTTGCTGATAAAATTGAGGAGTCAGCTGAGGACATCACAGCAGCAGACACAGCACCCAGGCCAAAGAACGAGATGTAGACTGGACAAAGGTACTGCAGCACGATTGGTAAAATCATATCTGCTTCTTTTTTGCTCTTGGGGTCAGGGACACCATATTCAGTCTGGTTCCAAGCTGCAATATGGACACCAGTATGTTATCAGTGACATTAGCAGCCACAGCACCTCTTCATGCGTAGCAAGCTATTCATATTACCACATTTTCATGCATGTTCAAGATAGGCCCAGACCGATGGCATTTTAGAGAGGCAGTGTCACACCACAGCACCTCTTCATGTCTAGCAAGCTATTCATATTACCACATTTTCATGCATGTTCAAGAACAAACTCTTACTAGGCCCAGACTGATGGCATTTTAGAGAGGCAGTGTCACACCAGTTTCTGTTAGGCAGATTTAATTCTGCTCAGCATTTTTCCTTGTCTCTAAAATAAACTTTAAATTGCTCATAAATGTAGTTTTATTCAATAAAATAAGTCTGAGATACATGTGGTTTTTTTGTGATGTGTTTAACTACTCTTTTAGATTACAAACAGGATTCAAAGCAATGTAAACATTTCTAAAAGAATATTTTTAGCAGTTTAGCTACACAGTCATTATGATGGGGATCACTTTCACTATGACAAGCAAAACCTTGGCAAGTATATATTTGTCAAGGTAAGAAATTTCTGTTAAATCAAAGAATGATTTAGTTTGGAAAACACGTTTATGATCATTGAGTTGAACCATTAGCCCAGCACTGCCAAGCCCATCAATAAACCACATCCCCAAGAGCCACGTCTACACCTATTTTAAATAGCTCCAAGGATGAAGAATCCACCACTTCCCTGAGCAGCCTGGTCCAGTGCTTGACAAACCTTTTGGTGAACACCTTTTCCCCAATATCCATTGTAAACCTCCCCTGCTGCAACCTGAGGAAATTTCCTCTCGTCCTGTTGCTTGTTATGTGGGAGATGCACCTTTCTACAACCCCCTTTCAGGTAGTTGTAGAGAGCAAAATGTCTTTCCTCATTCTCTTTTTCTCCAGGCTAAATAACCACAGCTCCCTCAGCCATTCCCCATTATTACTGTACTAACCAAATAAAAGTACCAGAATCTAACACAAACATTGAATAAAAGTATTGTGTCTGTAGATATCTAGAATCTACAAAATTATTTAATTTCATCCACTGTGGTAGAAGCAATTTCCTTTGGGAGAAATACTCTATAGCATTATTTTTCTGTGTAGTCTTCTGTTGAAGCAGTCATGAGTTGAAAAATGATGCCACCTGGTTATCTGACCTATATGTCACCTATATCCAGCACAAGATTTATTTTCACACACTTGTTGCACTATTCATTTTACATTTATTGTACTACTGATTTTGAATCATTTACCTGTAGATGCTCCAATTGCTCCAATCAGCACTGCAGGAATAGCCATCACAAGACAGCCAAAAGCAGCCAGGAATGACAGAACTTGAGCGTATGTGGCAGAAGACGAGGAAAGAACTCTCTGGAAATACGCTTGCCATGGAATTCCTCCTAATGTCTGCAAACACAACAGAATGCTGTGACTGGGAGATAGCTGAATTGTTTTGTTATCATCATGCAGAGAACATGCACAAGGGTCACTTGAATGCCGAAAGCCATATTGCTACTGTTTAATTTATTTACTGAATGTCAGCCAGCCAGTAAGAACTGCAACTTTCATTCTCACAAGCAATGTCAAAGCTGTGTAAGTCCACTCAAATCCCATTCTTTTTAGACAAGTTGTTTTTTATACAATTAGCATCAACACTTTGCACTTTCATAGTCTCTGTAGTCCCCAGGTCTTTTGACTTGATAAAACTTCATGGAAAGAAATATTTTCATCCTGCTCCACTAAAATTAGATTAGACTCTGACATGATATCAGAGCAAGATTTTATCTTCCTTTGTGAATGTGTCTAGTCATTTAAAGAAGGTGAGACAATTCTGTATACACTGAATTCAGGAATCTGAAAAATTATTCTCCCACTGCCTTAAGCAAATAAAATACCAATAAAAGTTGGTAGAAGACATAGGCAAAAAAGGGAAAAGATTTGATTTATGGTGAAAACCCTTCTCTTTTATTTGGATATGTAACTGAAGATCCTGATTAGACTTAAAATGATTTCTGCAAAATATGACACAAAAGAGCATTACCCAAGGTTGAAAACTCAAGTGCTAACAATTCAGGATTTGAATAGTCTCCACTAAGTAACTATGTGTCTGTCTCAAACACCACGGAAAAAAAGCCAAACATATTTTATAACCGAGTTCTATACACTAAATGAGGCAGGAGGCATTTGGACCAGAAAGTGTGTATACACGTGTTTCATATAGCTTCATGCACACATAGGGACTAAATTAATGTTTCACTGACAAGTCTGGTTTTGACTTGCTATTTATGACTGTTTTTCTTTGCCACCTTGATAATAATGTTCCTTTATCAAAGCTTTCCAAGAATGTGTAACTTTCTTGAGCTATAATGAAACAGACAAGATGAAAAGAAAGTGTGTCATAATTTGGCAATATTAGAACTTTCATTTGGTCAACAGCAGAAATGAAACCTTCAGGCTTACAGGAGAGAATACAGCTACTTGAGCTAATGTCATACTTTAGGTCTCTGAGAGAATGCTGAATAAAATAACATGTTTTGATAGACAAATTATAAAAAGATTTTTGGCTGTGAGGATTTGAAAAAAAGCCAGAAAATGTAATCCCAAAATAAAACATCATAATAAAACCAGTGTAAATTTGCATAGGGACACTGAGAATGGAAAATGTTAGCATGTGTTTCTAGATCCTCTAATGGAAAGTACTTAATAACCACTGATCCCATGTGTAATATAGGTATTAAATAATGAAAGACCATGGTTCATTCTGGCATGTGTGCATGTATGAATTTATCCATCCTGCCATCCATCTCTGCACAGCTTTTTCTTTCCCTATACCAAAGGCATATTTAATCATTTGTATAATGTATTTATTGCCTTCTGCAATATATGAATTCCTCTGCCAACAATTACATCAGTTAAGCATTAGCTGCACACTTTTATTTAATTTTAACATGTCAGCTCTTTCAGCCTGATGTTATTTAAATTGCATTCCTGGCAATAATGTCACTGAAATCATTCAAATGTGCAGAAATATCAAGCAGGAGTCAAGAGGGTAAAAGTTTTCAGCTTGATAGAAACTCTTAACTAGACTCCATCATTTTCAGCTGTCACAGTAACATGGTGTGAGTGCTTAAATGCTTTACTCCTTCATACAACTCACCACTTACCAGTAAAAAGAAATTGTCCAACCATGTGTAGATGTCAAGGGAGTTGATAGATCCAAGCCAAGGTGCTTGGTACACGTGGTGCACAGCCGTGAGCCCAATGTCTGTTACTGCAGGATGGGACATGGCAAAGGGGACACTGATCCACTGGAACCAAAGAGAAACAATGTGCTCAGGTCTAAAGAAGATATTCTAAATCCGTGAAATTTAAATATTAACACTTATCTAGTTTTCTTATTCTTGCTTGTTTGAATATGATTGAATACCAAATTATCAAGATGATTTGCAAAATGTCAGATTATGTGCAGGTGGAACATTTCTGAAATCCTGAGGGCTTGGTAGTGGATAGCTCACTTGTGTCATTGAGAGTGTGAGCAAAGAGTTAATAAATGGAAACTGAAAAAGCAGAGGAAAATACACATTTATACAACTTTGTTCTATTTTACCTAACCTCCTCATACATTGTTTACGCTCTTTCCTGGACCACCAGCCATTAGAGGAAGGAGCAGCAAAGCTCTGTGACAGTGGGAGTAAAAGCTGCTCCTGAGTCTGGAGGAGAAGCTGGGATAACTGAATCATCTGTGCTCTCCTCTGCTGTGACATCTACTGTGAGAGGGTCCCGTGTGTTCTACACCTGCCTCCCTAGAGCATGGCCATTTAGATACTGACTCTTCAGCCTCACTGATGACACTCTTGAGTACATTGGTTCTTCAGCACTACATTACTGATGTTTATTTCAAATGGAAAATTACATAAAGAGACCAACCTGAATTAAACAAAACACTAAAAAGCTATAGATCTAATAATTTAGAAAACTTCTGTACAACCTTCATTTTCTTCCCACACTCCCATCCAGGTTCACACTAATTTTTATGTTATTCCTTTAGGATCAGGCTCTCTAGTGGTTCATGAGTGGATCACGCTGGAAAAAAAATTCTGTACTTTGATTTATCTCCAGTTTTGGGAATTTCTGTAATGCATGCCATCTGTAGAAACTTAATGTCTCACAAATATTAACATTTATGTTAAGGAAAGAGTATTTTCCCCACTGTTCAGATGAAGAAAAAAGATATGAGGGAAGAAAGTCTGTAATAACTTTTCATTTGAGGTGGCCAGCTGGAACTTGGATTTGCTTTTTCAGGCTATTTAGCGCCATTTCCATTAAATCACTTAAAGGCTATAGTCCTCACAGCAAGATGCCACACAGTAAGCACACACAGAGAGCTGGTTAGTGAGTACCTGTGTAAGCAATGGCTAAAGCAATTTTCCTAGAGCTGCACAAGAACTCTGTTGAAAGCAGAGAAAGAACACCAGGCCTCCAAGGTTTCCTTTGATTCCTTCATCTTGAGCCACTCCATTTATTTTAGCATATCACAGTTCTCTGCACACCTTTGACTGTCTGTTACTGCCACTGGCAAAAAAAGCCAGCAGCTTTTTTGATTTCACCCTTGTGATCAGTGTCACACTGATGTTTTTCAATATGGGCCTTAAAGAACAGAATAAAATAAAAGGCTACCCACTAGCATATCATTGATAGCTGATGAGGGACATTCATTTCCACACTAAAACAGACAAGACATCTGGTGCGACTTCCTATATTATGGTCTCCAAGGGTGGTGGAGGGAAATGAGGGAAAAACCAGGAAGGTTAACTAAGTTAACAGGAGGTTAACTAAGCTTTGTAGGTGACAACCACGGAAAAGAGAAACAGTAGAGTATCAATTCTGCAGGTCCAGTGACAGAATTTTTCTACCAACAGCTTCGTATGTCTGATGGCTCCTGCCATTGTCGCAGACTGACAGGGAAGGAATCAGCACCAGTTCTATTCTGAGTTAGATGTATACTCAAGAGGAAAATTGCAAGAGTGGTTGGACTGCCAGATTGGCTGGAAAATAGCCAAAGAATCAGGCCTCTTGGACAGCACTATTTCCCAAGTACAGGCTGTACATTGATGCAAATGCAGACCTTTAAAGTCAGCACTCTGTGAGTCTGGCCGGTTAGCAATGCTGTGCCTGGTACACCCCAGGACACACTTGGCCCTTCTAGCTGCTTAGGACAAATCCTTAACAAAACAGGGCAAAAAAAGCCAAACTTACCAGTCCCAGGAAGATGCAGAAGAGCTGAACTACATCGGTGTAGGCCACAGAATAAACTCCACCCACAAGTGTGTACAAAGTGGCAATCAGGGCAGAAATAATGACTGAAATATTGACATTAATGTCAATGATCACACTTATAGTTGCACCTAAGGGGAAAAGCAAAGCACTGTGTGTTAGTGTGTGTATCACAGAATGTCTGATGAGAACCCCACCTTTGTCAAGTTGCATATATCGGTTCTGGACTGACAGTAACAGCATTAATAATTACCCTGTATATTCTGCACACCCTTTCTGCACCTTTAAATGGAATAGGAAAGAGATGCTCCTATTGGTCTGAGTTTAGCATCTGTCATTTTGCAAGTTCTTAGGAAATGGAGAAGTGTCCCAGCACTTCCTTATGTTGCTCAAGGTCTGTAAGGAGTACACTCTCTTGCTCTGTCTGTGAAATCCAGCTATGCCCACCCCTGATTGCCACAGTCTCCAGAAGGATACTGAGAATGTTCCTGCAATGCTACCAGCCAGCTGCCACAGCACTTGCAGGATGCATCCCCTGAGGTCCAATGAATCTGTGTCTGTCCAGTGTATTTAAAAGTTTCCTCACTTGGTTCTTTTCCAACAAGTCTTCCTTGCACTGGACCTTCCCAAGCTTCTCAGGGTCCTGGGATTCCTAAAAACTGATCTTGCCAGCAAAAAATTAAGCAGAAAAAGCACTGAATACATCAGTGTTTTCCACGTCTTTTACCACCGGGTGCCCCATCCCATTCAACAGCGGTTCATATTTTCCCTTTTGTTAGGATGAACTGCTCTTGAGCATGGAGGTGGTGATCCCTGAATATCAACCAGTTCTGCTGCACTCCAGGACAGTCTCCCATGGGATTCTTCCCAGCAGAATGCTGGAGAGGCCCAGCTCTACTCTTCTAAAGTCTGTGGTTGCAGTTGTGATATTTGCCTTGTTCTCCCCTCTCAGGACCATGAGCTCCCCCCTCTCATGAATATTGCTGCCAAATCTGCCTTTGACCTTTATACCCCTGACTTGTTCTTCCTTGTGTCTAAGTAACAGGTTCAACAGAGCACCACCTCCCTACAACAGCTCCCTGACCATTTGTGTCAAGAAGTTGCTGCCAGTGCACTCAAGAAACCTCCTGAACAGCTTGTGTCCTCCTGCCTGGCCCCTCCAGCAGCTATCAGAATGGTTATACATTTCCCTTTGATGTATCAGCTATTTAAAAACCATTGTAATGTTTTAAGATCATGTTTAAGAATTTCCTCTCCTCCTAATTAGGATGATTTCAATGAAACATCTTGCAAGTACTTTTAGTGCTTGCAGTTATTGTAGATGGATATTCTGGAGCACATATTTGGAAGAGTTTTGGCCTTAGAATACAACATGATGTGTTGTGTGATATGTGTTGTGATATATAAGAACTTCTGGGAGCTGACAGATGTGGCTTTTGCCGCACAGTGAGCCTTCAAAGTTCATGTGCTTAAGAATGACAAGCTCAGACCTCTTCCACAGCTTAATGATCAGTGTTTCCCATCTATAACCCTGCCAAGGAAGGAGTATTGCTGAAGAGCAAGTAGCGAAGAATACTGGGATCAAACATTCATCAGTGAGGATAGGTGTGAAAAAGGAACTAGCTTACTCACAGAATAGTTAAAATTAAAATTTTCATTGACCTTTATAATCATTGACAGTCTTTAACTGTTGGCTGTTATATAAATCTAGAAAGGTATTCACATCACTTGTGTTGAAATAAAAGAGAATGGCTTGTCCTTAATCAAAAATATTGCAAATACTCTGGGTGTTCTTCAAGTTATTCAACTCCTATCACCTCAGCATGCAGTTTTTTCTTAGTCTTTTAAGGATTTTGTGATGAAATGGTGGTAAACAAGCTCCCCATTGCTTTGCAGTTCATCAGAGCGCAGTTGGAGAGTACCTTCAAAGTTTATTTTTGTTTAAAATAGCTTATGCTAGACGGCATTACCACATGCATGTGCATTATTAGTATGATTAGTTGGTAAAAGTCAATTACTGGTGCTTCAACTCAAGGGCTTTCTCTATTCTTAAAGGGGTTGCTAAATGCAGGCCTGAAATATAATTAAAAACCCTGGAAGCTGATTTTTTCAGGACTGGATGAGTAGTTGAGTGATTTTCTATTGAGTCATAGTTTCACTAATTCTCCAAATCCTTTCTTGAGTATTTTCTTCATTTTGTCAAGAAGAAAGCCATTTAGAATTGAAGAATTCTTCAAATTATTGATTAGCGTCTGGTTTATTTCTATTATTTGTGTTATGGAATGGTCTGTATAAGGAGATCTCCTATATTCAAAGGATTATTTTGTTAAGATGCATTGGAAATGCTGTTGCATATCATTAAGAGAAATTTTGACTGGCTTCTCTCATCCCAGAGATGTAAAAGAAAAGCTGGGTCAGATTTGACACAAAAGGGGCCCTTGCAATCACTTATGTCACCCTCACTATGAACAGAAATTTGCTCCTAAATCCTTTCATGCTCTTTGAAGAGGGACAACTTAAAGGTATGTGAAAATGAATAGATACTTTGCATGTCTTTCCCTTATCAAAATAATTAAAGGGGCAGCATTACTGGATTTATTTGCTAGTTAGCATGGGTCTGAGAAATGTCACAGTCTGAATCACTTGCCTTAAATAGTTACCATTTGGAGCCAGAATTTTAATGCATTTCTGATATTCTCGATAATTTCTACCTGTAATAAACTAATATTTATACTGCTTATTCCTTACCTAAGGCAGAGAAGATGGCAGCAGCCCAAAACATTTCTCCCATTAAAGCTGGAATAAACAGCAGCCCTCCCATCCTTTTTCCATAAAGCTGCTGAAAGGGGTCCAACATTGTCACATAGCCTTTGGATCGCATGGGTTTTGCAAAAAAAAGGCCACCTACAAAGAAAAAGCCACATAAGACACCAGTTGCAGTTCAGAAATGCATTACCATTAAGGGATAAAAGACTCATTGTCAGTTAAGGGTACAAAAATGTCATCAATAGTATTTGTTTATTTGTTTGTTTGTAAGTAAAAAGTACAGTGAAAATATCCTCTGGAAACTCATGTATGTACACAGAATTACTGAAACACACTCCATTAGTATCTATATTCTGATGATTTAAAAAAAGGCTTTTTCTTATTTTTTCTGGCTCAGTTTATGTAATCTCCCATTATGGATGCTGTCAGAGTTTTGTCTAATTTTGGATTAGCCTAAGAGAATGGCTTTTCTACCTAATCCTGTTGATTCTTAGACTGGAATCCAGCATGAATTTTCACATACTACTACTCTAAAAATAAAACAGGCTGAGACTCCTGAATCAGAAATGGAATTTCACATGTGGTTTAGTGCACACACAGCAAATCTGATTATTTCAGGATAATTCAGATTTATTATGCATGTTTGAAACAACTTTACTACACCTGCAGGATGTGTCAGAAGTCTTCTGAGTTCTGCCGGTGTCAGATTCTATTAATATTTCTCATACAGTTACTTCACTTATGTATGTTCAGGAATTTTGATATATCATTATTCTGCTCTGCCTGGCTGGTATATGGGCTGCATATGCACATAAATGTGCAAAGGCCTCCATTCCTCAAATTCTTTCTGTCTTGGGGAAAAACCAGGACATAGGAAAGCTGAAAGAGCTTTTATAAGGAAACCTGTGTAGTTGAGATCTGCACATGACTATAACCAAGTCACCACAGTAAAACTGCTGTATAAGGTATAATTACGAACTGGAAACCCTGTCAGTTCCCAGTAAAATATACTGTATGGCATTTGGCAACTCTTAATTAGGTTCCTCATGACAAGATATGTCATTTACTCATCATATTGTGCAGAAGGTTTTCCAAATTCCTATGTATTGCCTTTTATAACTCATATTTCTTCATTTCATCAAGTTCTCTGAACAGAAGGTACTGGGTCATTCACTGTCATCCCAATTTATAGTGCTTATGTGAATGTTGTGTTTAAGCAGGTAGATGCAGAAACCCTTCAGCTTTTTTTTTTTTTTTTGTGATTCTTGGTTTGGTAATGGATCCTTTTCCTAGTCTACTTGTTATGCCATCATTGCAAAAGACAATTAAAGAAGAAAAAACAGGATCTATTAGTATGTTCAAACACCTGTCAAAGGAAATAGGAGGTATTCAAACTTTTAAAACTAAAGTACTTGAAAAACTAAGGAAAATAAATTGTATGGAGAACAAACAGGGAGATTAAATTAATCTTAAATACCTCCTGTCTGAAGCAGAAATACTTTTCCCAGCCTTGTATTTATAATTTTGATTATGTGTTTTTTTAAAGGATAAAGAATTTCCCTCCTCAAGCTTTCAAGTACAGATCATGCCTAGAGAAATTCTTTCTCTGTGTTCTGCAGAGAGATACGTGGTTATACATACAGACTGCTTTTCTCTATAGTGGCCATTATAATTTTCAGGAAAACAAGTCTGGGCATCTCTAAACAGCTGAAAAGAAGCAGAGAGGCTAACTCTTCTGGACTATTGTTAATTTGTGTCAATTCTGCAGAGGCTGAGTGTTACCACATTTCTCCTCACAGAGAAAAGCAAGGCACAATTCTTCCCAAGAATATTTCTGGGTTTCACATTCTCTGAACCTCAGAGAAAGAAAAAACAATTCTTATCTCATATATTGCTCCTGTGTTTGTTCACAAATGGAATGCATCATGGAAGATTGTTTACCTGAAGGGAACTGATAATTGGATTCTGGTGTGTTTTGATTCACTGGCCAATTGGATCCAGGTGTGTGTGTGTCAGGACTGTGGGCTGACAGTCACGAGATTCCGTGCAGTGCAGTGCAGTTGAGTGCTTGGCAGATTCAGTTCAGATGTAATGTAATACAGGGTAATATAATATAGTAAAATACAGTCTAATAAAGTAATTATTTCACCTTCTGATAAGATGGACTCCTCCTCCTCATTCCTCCTTCATTGGGGGCAAAAATATCTACTGTAGCTGAGGGCCAGGAGGATGCTTGTGACTCCAATCCCAACAGCCAGCTAATGACACCGATGGATCACGACCCTCGTGACCTCCTAATGGCACCAACTCATCTCCAGGCAGACATCCACAGCCCCTGCTTTCCTTACAGCACACAGAGCTGCTCTCAGGGGTGGCAAGAGCCGGAGCTGGCCTGCACGTGCCAGAGAGAATCATCTGCAGCGGGGGACGTTTCTGCCTGGGAAGTCAGGATAACTAGGACAGGTCATTGGAAAACATTTTTAAGGGGAAAAAAGAAAGAGGGAGAAAAACAAGTTGTATAGGAAGAAATAAAATGTGAAAGAGGATCTGGATAAGCATCCAAAGGAAACAAAGGGACAGATTAGGTAGGAGGACCCTGAGAATAGACTCAGAATAGACTGAGAAGTCAAGTTATATTAGGAAAGTGAGTACATCAGTCACGTTAAGGAAATATGAAAAACACAGGATCTTTTTTTTCTGAAACAACATCCTTTTTAAACAGTTGCATCATTATTTCAGCATTAGAATTTATAATGCTGTCTGTATTTTACACTCTGTCCCTGCATATATCAGGATTTTGCATTAGCATTCTGACATGTGATTTAGAGTTTTGTACACTTAAGAGACTGCATGTTTCAGTTTTAAGAAAATAGTTTCTAGTCTGAGGAAATATGTTCTACATACTTCCTACACAAAATCAGAAAGGTTACCTAGATTCTTGGTGGACATCTATAAAGTATAAGCACTTTCCTTCCCAAAAGGATAGTTGTCTAATTTCAAGATTTATAGGTGTACTGACACCTGGGCACCTGGGTCATGTTCCAGAGCATATAGGCAATTAATGAAAACTTGAATATATAAAACTTGGTATTGCAATTTAAACACATTGCTTCCCCCCTCTACTGCCCCCAAAGAATATGGTTGTAATAATCAACTAGGTCTTGGCAAGCCATTTGGGACACTTGGGATATCAAATTATTTACACTTGTTTTTTGTCTTGTTTTATTTTGTTTCAACAGCCAAATGTACCAGAAGAAGGGATCCAGTTTACCTCAGCAACCTTTTATGGGACCATAGTTTTTTATTTTAAAGAATGAACCTGACATCAGAACTCTTTAAAATGAGGGTCTATTAGTTTTAGTATTTGCTTACCTAAAACCAGGCTAAGGGAATATCCAATAGGAGCCTGAGCCCAAGCTAGACCATAGTCTGGGACATACACAGCTTCTGCTGTCCCATTGATGTAACCTCCTCCAACCCATGTGGCTGAAAAGGAAGAGATGGAAAAGTCTTTAATGTCCACAAAGAAAGAAAAGATCACACACTGTATAGTAAAATCATCACTATGTAGGATATGGCTATTTTTTATTATATCAACAATACAAGTGCCAGGCATGCATCCTTTCATTAAAGGCAGCCCTAATTTGAATTTACAGCCTAAGCATATGAAAAAAGAAGTCAAAAGGACTGAGGCAATCATCGTCTAAGTCTCTATATAGTCAGTGATGATGTGAGGGCTGAGTCCCCCACTATTTATTTACTATTACGAATTTTGTTTGTGTTTGTACAAATGAAGGAGACGTATAAGAGGGAGTCTAAAGTAGGACATGTAAATTAGGCAAAGTTTGATGAACACAGTATTTACCAGGACCTTAATAAAAAAGCGCCTTTTAAACCTTGTTAAATTTTTGTTGTTTCATGAAGCATACTAATAAACTCGGAGTTCTCAAAATATTTCTATACAGAGTTGTGGTGCTTTTTTTGTCACCATAAAAGTTCTAAACTCTAAACTTTAATTCATTTATTTTATTTTTCCTTGAGCCATAGTCAATAAAGGATATGTGCTATCTCCAATATTTCTGATTTTATCTCTCTCTCCAAAAAGCAGTATTTTTAATATTCCGACCTCTGACACTTAATGAGTTTATTCTCTGCCTTTAAGGGAAGTTTCTACATTTGAGAATTTGGGATCAACAGTATATATGAGAGAAAAACTCCAACACATAAATGTGTTGTGATTACATCTGCAAAAATATTTCATAACAAATCAAGTAATAAAGTTCATCTCTTCCTGTTTGCAGATTCCATGCAAAAAAAATATTTTTATCTCTGATGTATAATGAGCAAGTTTTAGAAATCCAAGTCTGCAGTTTCAACAGGACCAGACAGTCCTAGACTTTTGTAATGATGTTTTGGTTTGTGTCAGAACGCTTTACTTTTTCATGTAAGAATGGTTAGGGTTTCTGTGTAAAAAGTCACAATAGTTGGAAATGTATTTTTCTTAAACATTCCTCAGAATTTTCCCATCATCCACCATTGTGCAGGCAAACTTGATTTTGTGTTTAAGACAAACAATTGGAAAGAAAAACAAATTAAGAAAATTTAATAAAATTCTTTAAGAAATTTTATTAAGAGCTAAATAACTACTCTTTTCTGCTTGGCTGTGATATCTCTTAAGTACTACTAGAGGTTATTTTGCTGAATTTCACTATGGCTTTAGAATCAAAGATCTCCAGCAGCCAGAGAATTACAATTGTCCCCCTTTCAGCAATTTGAAGCACAGGAATGAACCATTCTGTTGTTGGAAATGGTATAATAGACTTTCATGAGGGTGTGCACGCAGAGAGAGGCTGCAAAAAAAGAAGTGACCCAAGGAGACGTGTTACGAGCAGAATTTTGGTTATCAAAACTATTGTGTACTACAGAGATAAGGGGTGAGTGATGACCACATGGGGCTAAATGGGGAAGATGGGTTAAGGCTGATTCTTAACAAGAAGAGCAAGGATACATAATCTACATAAAAAGTTGTCAAACATTTGGGATTTTGTGACTCTTTACAGTGTGAATTTAGATAGAGGGGAATATGATACTTTGTTTATCGGATTTCTAGAATTATGGAATTGTTTGGATTGAAAGGGACCGTAAAAATCTTCTATTTCTAATCCCTCTGTGATGGGCAGGGATGGCACCTACTAGACGAGGTTGCTCAAAGCTCTGTCAAACTCATCCTTAAACAATTCCAGGGATGGGCAACCACATCATCTCTGGGCAACCTGTTCCAGTGCATCACCATCCTCACAGTAAAGAATTTCTTCCTAATATATAATCTAAATCTACCCTTCAATTCCCTACTTCTGCATCTCATCCTTTCAGTACATGCCCTGATCCTCATCTTTTCTATAAGTTCCCTTTAGGTACTGTAAGGCTGCTATCAGATCTGCACAGATCTTTTTCCTCTCCAGGCTAAACAACCCCAACTCTCCCAGCCTGTCCCAGAGATCAGTGTTGGGCCCAGTCCTGTTTAATATCTTTACTGATTATCTGGATGAGGGCACTAAATCTACGATTAGCAAATTTGCAGATCACACAAAGTTGCGTCAGAGTGTTGATCTGCAGTAGTGTAAGATATGGACAGGCTGGAGAGATTGGCTGAGGCCAACTGCTTGAGGTTCAACAAGACCAAGTGCTCAGTCTTAGGCTTTGGTTACAACAACCCCAGGCAGTGCTACGGGCTAGGGACAGTGTCTGGAAAATAGTCCAGCAGAAAAGGACCTGGGGATGCTGATCAACAGCAGATGAACATGAGAAAATGTGTGCCCAGGTGGCCAAGAAGGCCAGTGGCAGCCTGGCCTGCATCTGCAATAGTGCAGCCAGCAGGAGCAGGAAGGACATTATCCCCTTGTACTTGGACAACTAGTGCTGTGCCCAGTTCTGGGCCCCTCACTTTAAAAAGGAATTGATGTTGCACTGTGTCCAGCAAAGGGTGACAGGGCTTGTGAATGGTCTAGAAAAGATGTCTGATGAGGAACAACTGAGGCAGCTGGGTATGTTTAGTCTTGAGAAGAGTAGGACCTCATCACTTTCTACAACTGCCTGGTAGGAGGATGTAGTGATGTGGGGCCCGTCTCTTCTACCATGCCTGCAGTAAAAGCACAAGAGAAAACAGTCTTAAACTGAGGCAGGTGAGATTCAGATTAGATGTTAGAAAAACAGTTTTGACTGTCAGGATGGTCAGGCATTGGAATATCTTTCCTGGGGAGGTGGTGGAGTTACTGTCCCTGGCGGTGTTATGGGGGGTCTGGATCTGGCATTGAGTGATGTGGTTTAGGGGCTACAGTGGTAATGCTGGCTTGACAGCTGGACTTGATGGTCTCGAAGGTCTCTTCTAATCCTGATGATTCCACAATTCTGTGATTCTAAATTTTTCTTAACAGGGCTGCTCTTAATCCACTCATCACCCATCCTGCATCCATGTTTGGGTTTGCCCAGATCCAGGTGGAGGATCTTGCACTTGGCCTCTTTCACTGAGCCAGGTACCTTTGTATGAGATCCCTTCCCTCTAGAGTATCAACCACAGCACTCATCCTGGTGTCATCTGCAACCTTGCTTGAGAGTGCCCTCAATCCCCTTGTCCATGGCCCTGACAAAGCCGCTGAATAGCACTGGTCCCAATATGGACCCCATGCTCTATGGAAAAATCCCTGACTACCTGGGATGTGTGTCGCTTATTGTGTCTCAAGCAGCATAATCTTGTGGAATAAGCACCTGTATCCAATATCAAAAAGTAAATATTTACAAAGGGAAGCTTATTCGTCTCTTTCCCCAGAAAATGCCTAAGCATGAATTCTACATAAATTATATACTTGGTTACAGGTGGGAATATCCCACACTCAGGGGCAGATGTCCAATATTGCTGCAGCTGTGGTGAATGGGGCTTCCAGCTCCAGCACTGATTTGCCAACAGTTGCTACAGAGATGTCAGATATTCCCCGAGGGGCACTTGGTGCCATGCCTAGCTCCCTTATTTTCTTCTGGAGGAGATCAAATCAATTCCCTTCTGTGTGATGTTGTAGGGGTCATTACCCTTCACTGTCTGCCCAGCAGACAGATATTGCTGTGTAAGGTGGCATGAAGGATTTAGCCCTTATTTTTAATTTTATTTCTTGATTTCTGGATTGGAGTTTGAAAAATTGCTCCTAATCAATTTTTCTGCGCACATGACTGTTCTGGAACACCTGGCAAGGACCACAGAGCTCTAGGAAGGTGTTATATGTCTTTTTCTGAGGGGATGAATGGATAGTCAGCACGTACACTGACACAGGTAAATACATTAGAATTATAAAGGGATAAGATAGGATGGGATTTCAACCTTAGATATTAATTTTCTGATCCTCATTTGGTAAGCCACAATTTAAAGTTAGTTTAATACCATTATTTTTGGTGAAATTCTTTTTGTTTTTACCTAAATCAGCCAAAAGGAATACAATATTTAATAATCTATGGAAGCATTCATGTGGTAATCTACTTTAATCTTCTCTTTGCCTGCCGTCTGAAGAACAAAAAATGCAGCAAATATCAACATCCATTTAAAACATGCACTGTAAAAAAGGATCAAACAAATACTGAGGGTAAGGAGTGCAATTTTTCTTGTAGTTCCTGTGAGACACACAGAAGTTGATCTCTGAGTTCTCGATATATAGTGATATATACTAGGAAACCGAATTTTTGGCATTTCTTCAGAAGAATTCCTTGTCTGAGCACTCAAATTATTTAATAAACTCATCAAGTTATGTAAAATGAAAATTCTGATCCAAAGATTAGAATAAAACAGAATTGTGTAATATTCTTTTTTTCATGTAGAAGGGTTATGTAGGTCTATCCAACTAAAATGCAAAAATTACATCAATAGATTATTACCTTTTGGGTCATGTTTGTGAGCATTTAGTTATGTAATCTCAACTATTTCCTTTGAGGTTTAAACTCAGTCACTAAAATCAAATTAGATTAAATTTTGTTGTAGATACCATGTCTTAAAAAAAACATTCACAAAAATAAGGAATGGTAGTATTTAATGCAACATTTTATCTATAATTATGTAAAAATTATACACAGATTAAATGCATCTACTGTGGTACAATGTTATTTCATTTTAATAGAAGCTGCTGTGATCCATCCACAATTCAACCTTTTCACTCCTTCTGTTTTCTTATTTGCAGACACACTCAACCTTCAACAGGCTTTGTGTTCAGCATTTCAGTAGCTGGTTGATACAGCTTTTTCTCCTTCAGGATCACAGCATATATCCAAAAATATCCACAGCTGTTATTCATAGGTAGTGCTTTAAGATTTTTCAATGTTGTTTAGAAAATCAGCTATAATTACTCTGTAATATTGACTTTGGTGCTTATATTCTGAATTTTATTTCAAATTTATAGGCTCAGTGCTGTCGTCCTCTCCACTAAGTAACCCTAGAAACTTCTACCACTTTCATGGCCAATACCTGTGGAACATTGCAGCATTTGTCGCAGGCAAAAAAGAGAGAATAAGGCCTTATCTCATAACCCAAAGTGCTTCATGTACAGAAAACCAATATCCTTTCTGGAAATGTTTAAAATAATTCTTGTTTTCCTGTTGTGGGGTAGGCTTTGCTTTCTAATTTATATTTAGACAATTAAACCTGGAAAACATAAAGATGATGTTGGAATAGTCATGTATTGCGAATAGTCAGGGTTGCGAGGTGCAAAATCAGCACCAACCATTTTTTTAAAAGCAGGTATGCACTTGAAATGTATGTCCCTTTTGTAAAAATTATCAACCTGCAAAAATTATTGTCGATTTTCATCAGCTTACTTTCATAATTATTTTGTTATGACTTTAGAAATCGAGTGCCCCAAACACCCTCACCGAGACAAAGCTCGGATGAACCCCTGGCTCGGCAGATTTGTGCCCAGATCTCACTTTATGCACCAGCCGTGGTTCACTACAACTGAAAGGTAGGTTAGTTGCCATATCCAGCTTTAATTGCCAGATTGAAGGAAGGCACAGGGGAAAAAGAGTGTCAGCCTTGAGAGTATAAAATCTGTGATAGTTTGAGCTCCACAAAGGCTTTGGGATCAGTCTGATATTCTGCTGCAAAGATGAGACACTGCGCCATCTCTAGAGCTTGCACAACACAGGATGAACATGTGCGGGTGTGAATTGTGGTGGCTACAGAACATGCCTGAGATACGGGAAATCCCAGTTCAGGTCTCATCTGTGCTTCACGGTTACACAAAATATTCCTGCAAAACAGGATGAAGGAGACCAGAATATGTATCTTCTACATGCAAAGCCATTAGTTGTAGCCACTTCTGTGGGAAATGCTTTTTTATCTTGACTCCCCTGGTTTAATGTTTATTGTTTTGTGGCAACCAATATTTCTGCAAAATATTCTGTTTTCAGTGCCCTTGAAAACATTTCATTCAGCAGAAAGCAGTCTAACCAGCTCTCACTATGAGCAGACTCTCGTCATACCTCATGCACCAGTAGCTGATGGATGCATGATATGGTAAATTACAGCATAGTGCAAAAAGTAGAACATCTGACTGCATTCAAACTTTATTAACTTTTACAAACATATTTACTCAATATCTAAATATTCAGTCTTTGAGTGAGCAAAATGCCCCTGCAAAAGAATGTGAAGTTATCTCAAATAAAGAATGCAGATTTTTGGCCCAAGTTTTACTTGGCTCTTCCTTATTAGATAATTGTGAAAGCAGAGCAGGGCAAAACAGCAAAACATAAATATAGTCAGATAAATTCAATTTGACAATTGAAAGGGCTTTGCCTGAAGAGGATTTAGATTAAATTAAGAATAAAAAAACCCCACCCATGCCTAAGCACTAATTTGCCTTAATATAATGGTGGGAAAATTCACTCTTCCTATAATGCATTTTTGTTCCAATACCATAATACAAGTTTCAAGATTTTTTACAGTATTGTGAATATCTTATTTACCCAGGCAAGACGGCTGGTTTGACTGGCTCTGGGAGTCAGAAAACACTGTTTACAAAATCAGTGAAGAACTCTTCCTTCACCCAGCCTTTTCTTACTCATACTACTATTGAGAGTAAAGCATTATTTTGTCCAATTGCTGAAAAAGAAGCTAAAAGAATCCACAAAATAAGTTTACTGAAATCTGTACAGTTACAAGTCTGGAGTTATGTCACTTTTCTTTTAGAAAATTGTTGTACACCCTCTCCTTCCCAACAATCTTTTTCCCTATAAACTTTGTTTTACTCAGATTAAACAAACCCAATAACACACAAATATGGATGGTTTTAAAAACTATAACAATTATTTTAAGACTTTTTAATTAATCTATATTAATTCCATACTTTTGTCCCAAACATATCTGATCTACAGATGAATATGGAATGAAAATTTATGTAAACTAGTTAAAATATATTCTTTCTGTAAGATTTACAAATATTTGTTGTTTCTATACAGATGCTACATTTGGCTGTCCATTAAACAATTGGATAAAAAAGTATATCTATTTTCCTCACTTTGCATTACTCAACATGCAGATTGCAATTCATTCAGATGGAAAACTGACAAGTTTTACACTGACTAGGAAACAGTAAGGTGTTTTTTTACATACCTGTCATTGTAAATCCACCAACTAGCAAACCAATATCTCTTCCACCGACGATAATGGCTTCGCTGCGATCTCCTTCGCTGCCGGTGTTCTTGGTTTTCCAAGCAGCCCATATCCCTACTGCCAGGATTGCCAGGTAGAAGACAACTATGGCCACCAGCCCCTCCACATGGAAAGCCATGTTGAAGTCCCAACTGTTTCTTTTATAGCTATTTCATTAAGACCTCTGGAGAGAATGCAATAATAGGTCTGCTTTTAGCATGCCTGCTTTTTAGAATCAGTGTACAAAAACCCTCAGATGGTTTTTAAAGAGACTATTCTGGTGAATTTATGAAATGAGAATTTCAGATGTAACTGAGATTAATGTCACATGCCAATTAAAACGCCAGTGGAGCAACAACCAGTGGTTACAGTCTGAACACAAAAGGGAATGAATGATGTGGCTGAAGGCTAAACTACCCTTAGAAATCAGTTATTGAGCACTGAATTATTTTGGTATCACCAAGTCCTCAATGTCTGGGAACTTTTCAGTCACAGACTAGTTTGGTACAAGAAAAAATCTTGAGCATGCGGACTATTACAAAAATCTCTATTTTGAAGACAAAATTGCTTTAAGTAATACTAGAACTACGTACAAGTAATAGCTACAACAGCAAAACACATCTTTTAAGTGTTTGTATTGGAATGCTGAGTCTGGTCCCCCTTGTAACATCTCCCGTACTTTAAAGTCTGCGATTTCTTTTTTGCAACATTTAATTGTCCAGCATGAAACGCATGAATCTGTTCTCTCACAATACGGGAAGCAAACGGAAAGCTTACAAGCTGTCGGAAGGCAGAAATGTTGAAGCATACGAACTACAGCGGGGGAAAACAACCGAGCGGCGCGGACAGCGGCAGCCCCGTCCGTACCCAGCCTCTCCCGGAGCCCCCTCCCCACGCCGGCCCCGCAGCTCCGCGCTCGCTCTGGCACCGCCGCGCCGGCGAGCCCCGTCCGCGCTCCTCCCGACGGCTCCGCGGCGGGGCAGCCGCCCGAGCCAGCCCTACCTCCGCGGCTCCGCGGGCTCCGGGGGCTCCGCCGAGCGCCTTGCGCGGCCGCGCCCCCGCCCCGCGCCCACAGCGGCAGCAGCGCCCGCTCGTTCGCCCGCCCGGAGCGCCGTCGGGCCGGGAGAGGAGCCCCGCAGCCCCCGCCCGCCCCCGCCTGCCCCCGCCGCCCGCCGCCCACCTGCGCTCCGGCGCCGCGCTGCCCCGCAGCCCGCGGGGCACGGCCGCCCATCCCGCGGGGCGGTGTCGGGGCCGAGCCGCCGGGGCTTTGTCCCCGCCCGGGGCTCTCCCGCTGGAAGGAGCGAAGGAAGGAAGGATGGGCTCTTGCCCCGCGGTGCCGACGGTGCGCCGAGTGCTGAGGCTGCGCCGGGGGTCTCGTGGATTAAAAAGAGGAAAATCTCTTTATAAAGGAGGAGGGTTCAGTGGGGTGAGAGGGACCGCGTCCGTCAGAGCTGGGGGGAGGAAGGGGGAAAGACGTCAGAGTGATAGGGGACGTTGGGGGAAAGTAAGAATGACTCAAGGGAGACTGATTGTCGTGTCATGGCAGGGAAGAAGGGTTAGGAAGTGTAATTGAGGTGAGAAGACAAAAGGGAATGAGGGGAAACAGGAAGGAACAGGTTCATATTGAACCAACGGGAAAGAGGAAGAAAAGAAAGGGCTGATCTAAAAAGACATATTGAAAATGCATTGGCCTTTCCCAGATCTGGGACAGCTAGTTCTTTGGGAGACTCTTTTTTTTTTTTATTTTTTTTGCCATGCCTCTTATGAACCTCACCTGCAGAGCTACGGTCATGCCAACTTTCCTGTGCTTGCACTTATGCTCTCTGTGTCCAAATGGTGCTGGACAGTGAGTTTATAAATTCTGAGAATAAGGGTACACGTGCAAAGAGGATCCAAATATGCCCTTGCCCCAGATTTGAGAAAGGGAAGATCATGCTGAACTGTGGCATTCTCTGTCAGCTCTAGAGAGGCAGTTAACATGGGCCATTGGCTCATGTAAGTTGAAAAGTAGAAATAAAAAGCCCACAGGAGTGCAGAATTGCTACTGGCAAAAGAACTAACTTGAAGCAGAAAATCTGAAATCATCCTCGATTCAAGAGGAAAACTGCAATGTGAGAAGATGTAAAGTCAGAGAGGAGAAAGGTGGCAATTCATAAAAGCTCAGTCTACTGCAAAGAACGACCCAAGGGCTGGTGCTCTCCTGCATATTTGCCAACTGCCGGCCAGCTTGGCTACAGAGCAGCTTTGTCTGCCTGCTCACGAACTGCTGAGCACATCACACCCGTTAGCCCCAGCCACTGGTGTGCCTCGCGGGCCATAAATTGTGGTTGTGCTCTCATAAATTGATTGTGTGCATAAGACTGCTTTCAGGTCTGGCCTCACTTGAGAAACCCACTTAAAGGTGGCCAGAGAATTAAAGGTTAGAAATGTTACTGTTTTTGTCAGCCAGACTCATGGGTTGTTCAGTGATTCTACTGGTGCAATGCTTGCTTGGGATTGTGCAGTAAGAACTTCCTCCCAGTAGTAGGCAGCTGAGACATATCTTAGACACAGGTGAGCATCAAGGCACCACCTAAACAGAAATACTGCCATGGAGGAAACACAAATAGGTATTTAAAGGTATTTCATATATATATATATATATATTTACACACATATGGTTTATATATAAATAGTAGGTAGAACTCATACACCTCCTTGGAAGCAATGAAGGTGTCTCAGTTAGGAAGAAAAGAAACAAATTCTAGCAATTAAAATATGATAGAAAATGCTTGGATGCTAAAATGGATGTTAAACTAAATTCACACGAAGTTTTAACTCCATTTTAGTTTGGTTTTGTTCAGCTTAATTCAGAAAAACCAGTCATGACCATTCAATGCATGGCTCAAGCCTGTCTTAGGCAAATTAAAAAAATATTAGCCAAAGAAAAAAAAAATCTTTTCTGTAATTAAATCTCAACTCTGATCTTCAATGAAGACTATAACAAATTTCTTTTGAACTTAGTGGGTTATATTAGCACTTTTTTAATGCAACTGGAATGGGAAAACTGTTTTTCATTATAATTATTTCTAGAAAATATTTAATTTAAAATAAATTATATTTTAATGAAATTCACTAAAACAAATCCTGAACACCTACTGTTTTTAATTTATGTAGACTCTTGTGACAAGTTTTGTCTCTTTGATGCTCTAGAGTGATTTTCAGCTGTCCACCCCATGAATCCACTTTGTCCAAGTTTTGCATTACATTTTACTCCTATAGTTACTTAACTATAAATAAGTTAAATAACACATCCGGTCCTGAGATTTCCATTTAAGTTCTAGGTTCCTTTAGTTGATGTGGCTTTGGGCTTTAGATTGCCTTCACCTGGATGTAGCTGAGAAGGACTGAGACAATTATTTTAGTGAATATTAGTGGATATACTATGCCTTCTTTTCTCATCTACTACTGCTATATCCTGTAGATTTCTAGTGCTTTCTTTTGGGGAAGGACTGTGCTGTGCTGGATCCCCGTGTGCATTGTGCCAGCTGCACCCAACAGCATCCATCAGCCACACCCCACAGAGCTCAGCTCTCATGACAGCTGAGGGCGTGTGCAAATGAGTACAGCAAATTTTATGTACCTTGGGAAAAGATGTGCTTTGGTGCTAGAGATATTTCATGCAACTGCAGGACTGATTCCATGTGAGACCTGACCACATTTCCAGAGAGAATAACTTCTGCTGTCGAAACACTTAGAACTGAGGTCATCTCTTCCAGGAAAAGAGAAAATACGTTGGTAGTTTTTACCTTCTAAAGCAATTGTGCTGCATCTAAACATAATTTTCTTTTTTAAAAGAGCATAGCTTGAAAATATGCTGTTTGAAAAGAAATCCTGAAGCTTAGTTTTATTCATATTTAAGAAAGGACACACTTTCTAGTGAAAGGTGTCCCTGCTCATGGCAGGAGGATTAGAGCTAAATGATCTTTAAGGTCCATTCCAACCCAAACCATTCTATGATTTTATGAAAGTTGACATGGACTCCTGCTTTCAATCACATTTTTTTGATACAGCTATTAAGGAGTGTTTTGGGTAAACAATGGAAGTTAGCTTTCATGTGCAATACCTGCCTTTTAAGCACCTGCCTTTAAGGTGTTACAATATTTACAAAGACTTATTGAGCCCACATATGGTTATTTGGACTCCCTCTTGGTAATAGCACAGATTTTTGCATTTTTAAATCTATGTCCATTACCAAGACTTTTCCTGGATAAAGGTCACCCTGTATACAACTAACTGAGCTGATAAAAATAAAACCTCCTTTTCACGGGAATATTAGGCTAAACAGTCACCCAGTTTTGTTTTGTTTTTTTATGCTTCCTGCTACTTGGTCTCTCACACGAGTTTGAATAATAGGAAAGTGAGGGACAGAAACGGAAGTCTACTGCCAGTAAACATTTCCATGGAGGGCTGTAATTCCCAATATTAAAGAAGTCACACATTTAAGTCATTATATGGGACACTTAAACAATAAATATCTACATGGTTATATACTTAAATAATAAGTATCTATATGTTTATATAAACTTCTGAGGCAAAATTCTAGATTTTCATACATTTCTATGTCTAAAACTTTCATGGTGTAATTATGCATTTCATGATTTTGGGTTGCAGAGTTACTTAAAAACATTATTATTCTTAAGAAAAATAAACAATAACAACACCAACAACTAAGCATCCCCAAGGTTTTGAGGTGTGTTCCCTTAATAAAAAAAAGCTTTTACTACAGCTTAGTTAAGGCCTGTATTTAGAGTTTTCCTGACACTTACAGAAAGGTTTATTTACAATTATTCCCAAAAAAGGGCCTCACTATCTTGTGGTTTTTGGGGCAGTTTTCATCTTAGATTCTTTCCACCGTTTCTTGATTAACCATGGAGTTCCCAAAGAAATTATCCACCCATTTGCTCTACAGCTCACAAAACCCCCTCCTGGATGAGAGCTCTTTTGGAAGATATATTTGATGGTTATTTGCAGTCTCTGATTACCTTGCTGGGAAGATACAGCTGCAGTTCTGAGCTTTTAGGATTCCAGACAGTGTAGATCACAGATGTGACTCTTTTGATAGCAAACTGGATAAGGTATCAACGAAACAGACTTTTTGTGTAGTGTGACAAATGCTGTGATGCATTTTTTAATTCTGTGCTACAGTTCCAGGCAGTTTTTTTAGTATAAAACACGCAAAACAAAACAAAGAATTGTAAGAATCTAAAGTTTAGTACTTAAAAATACTAGAGAAGCAGAGTTAGGACTGTGTGTGAAATCCTAATGTCCTTTTGTCCATGTACTTTTTGAGTCTTTAACTGTATAATCACATACTAACTTTTCTTTGAGATGCCTGTCTCTTCCAATAAGAGTTGATCTTCACACTATTTCTTTTTATATTTCTCATTAAGCATGTGGCCTTACAAGTACACTTCATTCAAACTTTGCAATGAAAATAAAACTGGTGATTTTCTCCAGGTTTCTGTGGTGCAAAGAATTAGTGCTTCAGAAATACAGATAATATTATCTACAGAGCACACTAAGGTAATATGCAGCACCTTTGTATAGATTTATATATTTAAGAGATAAGTCCAGTCAGTTTCTGTAGCTGCTTTATGCAAATCTCAGAAGCAACTAATGTTTTGTTTTGCTTTGTTTTTTT